GCGAAGTATCCGAATCGGCGAGCGGCGTTTGTCGGCTTGAGCCATCGAGACCATCCCATTTTTTGTGAAGCATGCCAGTGCGCGCGATACTTGGTATGGGTAGAGACTGCCAGGGAGTGGCGGAGCAGCAACGCTCCCATACGGCCGATAGATCGTCGAAGAAAGAGTCGATGTAATCCTGTGACCATGAAGCAGAGAAGTTAGACCATTGTGTCGAGATTATGTCACCCCATGCCCTTGATCCAGCGTCCGCCATGACGTTGAGCTTCCCCGGAATGTAAGATGCCGTGCACCCGAGGTAATGCTGGAACTCAGCCAGGGACAGAAGTCGATGGTATAATTGTGCAGTTGGGTGCCTGCTTGAACGCCGATTCACCCACGTCACCGCTGATGTGTTGTCGATGTGGAACTGCACGTGTCGGTGGAGTCGGTCGTGCGGATCGCATCACATAGGCCCCCAATGCAAAAATGCCAGCACGGCTCTACGCAGCTCTCGGACGTTGATCGAGAGTGTTTGTGACTCCAGTAACGAGAATTTGTGACGAAGAAACCGTTTGTGAGTTGGTTCCAGTGCACAGAGACCTTCACCGCTTGCCCATGAAGACGTGAACCACCGGATCGGATGAATCTGCAAACAGGGCTACAGGTATGGAGTTAAAGCTCTCCGGATGATGAAGGACGGCGCGAAACCATCGTAAGTCATCTCGTGCTGCAGTGGGGAGCCTTCGCTGACCAAATCGCGGTAACGTATTAACACTGGCTTGAAGTTGCTGGAAGAAGGCTCGAGCGGGCCAAGAGCAGCTTGCTACGTGTCGAAGGCTTCCCAAGACCTTGAGGATTGACGTCTTCATGGTAGTGCTGCTGGATAGCAGCCTCGTGACCCTGTTAGTGGCCTTTTGAATGTTTTTACTGGGAATGGAAACACAACCGTAATCGGTATTCCACATAAGACCTAGCGCCTTATTCACAGTTGCCCACGGTGTAAATTTCAGCTCGTTTATGGACGATGGGCCCAATACCGTGGCCATTGCGCGTCGCAGTGAGATGTTGGCGTCAAAGGATCGGCTTCCTTCATCAATCTCAATGCATGTGTGATCATCACACCACACGTTGTCAGTGAACTTCCAAGCCGTTCCGCTTCCGAACTAGTAGTAATGGTCGACCAGGTTACCTACGACTGCGTAGTATGATGGAGATCCTCACCACCCAAATCCGCAGGCGAGCTTGATCACCAGAACGTCCTTATACCTGAAGCAGAACATGTGTACTGCCTCTGCGTTGATCGATACATGGCGGAATGCACCCGCCACGTCACCAAGCTTCAACAGCATTTGTGAGGACCGACCCAGCATTTTGCGCTGATAGATTGGCCGTGCGATGGCCCTTGGTGGATTGTACGAAATCGGAGAATGGTCACTCCGATCCGTGTAATCGTTCACCGAGGCATCTGGCGGAAACGAGTAGTCGTTGATGAGACGAATATCTTGTTGAGCAGCACCTGGCTTGTCGACTACAGCAAGCGGGCTGACGAAAATCTCTGGCCACTG